TGTATATTGGATCAGGGACCGACACTGTATATTGGATCAGGGACCGACACTGTATATTGGACCTGGGACTGTTGTTCTTATTATGATGCACATTAATGTGGTGGTTTTCTGATCTCAATCATTAGTGAAGCTTCAAGCCTGGCCTGTCTTTGCCTGAAAATAGAACCAAAATTTGAAACACTAATTCTGTCACCAACTTGAGGTACTCAACAGACAAAGGCACATCTGCCCGAGCATCAGCAATTATTTACTGTGGGACAGAACAAAACTTACCGAGAGAGGACCTGTTTAGATTTCTGTGCGGAGAAAGAAAAAGAGTAAGGAGGTTAGGGCATCAAGATAACAGATCAGCACATGTTGAACTAAAACAGTGAATTTGATGTTAGAGAATGCATTATGTTAGAGCAACTCATAGGAAGGGGAGCGGTGTGAAGACACAGCAGCAATGTTGGGGTACTCTAGGCAATGTGCTAAGAACAACCAGCCTTAATGAGAAGCCTCATGCAATAACAATTTGTACTTGGGTTTATAGCGCCTGTGATGTAGTGAAATGTCTAATGAAGTTTTATCAATCAAAACTTGATTTCATGCCACAGAATCCTGGGATGATAGTGTACAGAAGGAGGCCATTCATTCCATAATTTCTATGCTGACTTTTTAAAAGAGCTATCCAAGTAACCTGACTCCCCTGGCCAATACCTTGCAGAACTTCCTCATCCAAGTATTTACCCAATTTTGAAGCCTCGTCAGGCTGTTCCTCGATCATTATAACAAGCTGCTTCACAGTTTCAGAATTGTGCTGCCCTCAGGAATGTTGCAGTTGCTTCCTTCGCTAAATGTTTAAATCATGGTCCTCTAGTGAGTGGTCTTACAGACAATGGAAAGATTTGATCCTTATTCGCTTCATCAAATTCCTTCATAATTGTGGACAAACCAATTAAATTCTCTTTTCTCTGCTCTGAGGACAATCCCAGTTTCCTTAATCATGACAGTATTAAATTCATCATCTTTGTTATCGGTCTATTAAATCTCTGTCACATCATCTCAGAGGACTCCATATCATTTCTAAATTGAGGGGCCCAGAATTGAACACTTTCCTCCAGCGGGGGCCAACCAAGTGTTTTATATAGGCATGGATAGGGTGGATGGTCAGAATGTTTTTCCTAGGGTGGAAATGTCAAATACTAGGGGGCATAGGTTTAAGGTGAGAGGGCAAAAGTTTAAAGGAGATGTCTGAGAAATGTTTTTACTTGGGTGCCTGGAATATGCTGCCAGGGGAGGTGTTAGAAGCAGATATGATAGCAATGTTTAAAAGGCATTTAGACAGCCACATGAACAGGCAGGGAATAGAGGGATACAGACCACGTACAGGCAGATGGGATTAGTTTAGAATGGCATCACTGTTGGCACAGTCATGGTGGGCCGAAAGGCCTATTCCTGTGCTGTACTGTTTGATGTTCATCATGAATTCCTTGCTTTTGTTTTGCATGCCTCTATTAGTAAACTCAAAGATCCTGTTTTAAAAGCCATGGCAACATTTTGTGCCACCTTCAAAGAGTTATGAATGTAGATCCAACAGGTCTCTCTGTTCCTGCACCCTCTTTAGAATTATAACCATTTTGGTTCTCTTTATTTTTCCCACATAAGGCCACATTCGGTCAAAAGAGCGGTGGCAGGGCAGACACATTTATGGAGTAAATTCTAGAGGGTAACGCCAAGATAATTAAAGGCATGCTAGCCAATGGTGGAACAACAAAAATTGAGATTGCCCATGGGAAAAGATCTATAGGCACTTGGAGAGGTTTAAGTTCAATGCAGAGAGCTAACATGGATGTGTAAAAGGCAAATTGTGCTTGACAGATCTCATTGAATTTCTTATTAAAGGTTGTGAAGGGAATGTGGTAGTTTCTGTCAACTATGATGAAGGTTCATTCTATATCGTTATTGTTTGAGCGCTTGGGGTCAACAGTGGAGGAATGACAATGAGCTTTTCACGTTTGATTTGTACTTCTCTATTGCGTATGTTAAATAGAAGGATGATAATAAAATTGCAGATGCTGGAAATCTGAAACAAGAACAGAAAGTGCTGGTGAAACTCAGTGTTTATGGCAGTATCTGTCGAGAGAGAAACAGAGTTAATATTTCGCTTCTGAAGAGGGTCACTGGATCTGAAATGTTAACTCTGCTTTCTCTCCATAGACGCTGCCAGGGTGGCTGAGATTCTCCAGCAATTTCTGTTTCTTTTAAGTTTTGAGTTTAATTTTGCATTCATTCTGAGAGTGATGCTGGAGTGCCTGCACATCTGCTTTGTTCACATGCATTTAATAAAATCTTTAATACCTTAAGGTGAATAGGTTCAGTACATTAGAAAAAGGGTAGAAGAGGAAAAAAAATAACTGCTGTTGCCTCATGACAAGAGTCCAGTAACACAGGGAGACAGACAGAAATCGGTCCAGTTAGAAAGGGAGTGTGCAAGTTACATTAGGAGAGAAATGGTTGGTAACAGTGTCACTGCTGTTAGTTTAGCAGTCTGTGAAGCCCTGAATGGCTTAAAAATTAGTAAGGTAAAGATTCCAGAAACAGAAAGTTGTTGAAGATGTGAGTTTAAGGAACAATGGTAGCTGTGGGAGCAGCTTGTTTGAGGGTTTCAGGAAAAGACATTGTCAGAAGAAAATAACATCAAATGAACGTGCAGAACTTTGCTGAAAAGAAACTGACTGGTCGTGCCAGCTGAACGACGGCCTTTAAAGTGGAGACAGGAATGACCCTTCACTGAGGTTTCAGTCTCTGAAAGGTTGTTACTGAGTGTAAAAGATTGACCATCTCACCTGATATATTAATGTATTTATGCGTTTGTTTCAACTAATCCCCTTGTATTATGTACCATAGTTTCTGTTTTAGTCCGGAGTGCAATAAACTTATTTTCTTTTGTCAATAGTAGATTGCAGCCCCTTAGTGAATATGCTCAGTGACTGACCACCAGGGTAAACAGAAAGAAAATAATGAAAGGACTACATAGGTTTTTACTCTGGGATCTGACTTGTCCCAGCATCACTATCATCTGTGCAGGAGTGGGAAGGGGTTGGAGAGGGGTACAGCATTTATAATGAGGAATATGTTAGTTAGGGTAACAGACAGGCAATTCTGTGGCTTTAGATATGACTTCAGGATGGTATGTTGCCCCTTTGCTGCCAGGGTCAATGATGTCGCAGAGATTGGCTGCGTGACATTCTTGTGGGATGGGGGGTGCATTGGGGTGCGATCAGCTAGAAATTGGTGTCCACATTAGCACCAGTGATGTGAATGGTAAGGGCGATTAGATGCTGAAAGCAGATTTTGGGGACCTAGGTCAAATATTGAAAATCAGGACCTCTCAAGCAGTGCCTCAGGATAATCTCAGTTCCACGTGGTACTAAGCATTGAAGTAAAGAATTGAGCAATAAAACACATGGCTAGAGAACTGGTGTAGGGGGGAAGAGGTCATATTTCTGAGCCATAGTACTGTTTAGCATTCATTTCAAGAGGGCTACAATACAAGAGCAGAGCTGAAGACATGTGAGGTTCTGGTCAGACCACAGTTTTGAATCTTGTGAGTTGTTTTAAGTCCCGTTTCAAAAGTAGGATGTGCTGATGTTAGAGGGGGTCCAGAGGAGGTTACTGGAATGATCCCAGGATGAAGGGCTTGTGATATAAGGAGAGGTTGAGGACTCTGCGTCTGTACTGTATGGCGTTTAGAAGGATGAGGAGGGGTATATGATTGAAACTTACAGAATACAGAATATAGAGTGGATGTGACGAAGATGTTGCCACAAAGTAGGAGAGACTAGGACCCGAGGGCATAGCCTCAGAGTGAAGGGCTGGCCCTTTAGGAATGAGATGGGGAGGAATTTCTTCAGCCAGAGGGTGGCGAATCTGTGAAACTCTTTGCCACAGAGGGCTCACACTACATTAACATGATTTACACTAGCCATTTGCCAACATTACACTAATATTTTCCAGTTCTCCGAGACCCTCCCTGACTCCAGTGATTCCTGGAAGATCACCATCAATTCCTCAACAATCTCATCAGCTAACTCCTTCAGATCCCTGGGGTGTAGTCTATCTGATCTGGGTGATTTACTCACCTTCAGACCTTTCAACTTCCCCAACACATTCTCCTTAGTGATGACCATTACACTCCCCTCTGCCCCCTGGCTCGCTTTAAGTTCTGGAATGTTGCTGGTGTCCCACTGTGAAAACTGATATAAAGTACCCAGTAGATTCCTCTGCCCTTTCTTTGTTCCCCATTACCACTTCTCCAGCCTCATTTTCCAATGGTCCAATGTCCACTCTTGCCTCTCTCTTATAGAGTCATACAATCATAGAGTAATACAGCATAGAAACAGGCCCTTCAGCCCAAACTGGTCCATGCTGACCACGGTGCTCACTCAGCTAGTTCCAATTGCCCACATTTGGTCCATATCCCTCTAAACCCTTCCCATCCACGTACCTATCCAAATGTTTTTTAAATGTTGCTATTGTTCCTGCCTCAACCACTTTCTCTGACACCCCATTCCATACACACAGCACTCTCTGTGATCAGGTCCTTCTTAAATCTATTCCCTCTCACCTTAAACCTATGCCCTCTATCTAGTTTTCAATTCCCCATTCCTGGGAAAAAGACCATATACATTCCTGTCTATGCCCCTCATGATTTTATACACCTCAGTAAGGTCATCCCTCATTCTCCTACGTTCCAAGGAATAAAGTTCTACCCTGGCCAACCTCTCCCTATAACTCAGGCCTACTAGTCCTGGCAACATCCTCGTAAATCTTCTTTGCACACCTTCCAGTTTAAAAATGTCTTTCCTATAACAGGGTGACCATCTGATCAAGATCCCTCTGTAATTTTTGATAACCTTCCTCGCTATCAATGATACCTCCTAGTTTTGTATCATCTGCAAACTTACTAATCATGCCTTGTACATTCACATCCAGATCATTTATGTAAGTAACCAATAACAAAGCTCCCAGCACTGACCCCTGTGGCATACCACTAGTCACAGGCCTCCAGTCCGAGAAACAACCTTCAACCCTCACCCTCTGCTTCCTACCATCGAGCCAGTTTTGAATCCAGTTAGCTAGCTCTCCCTGGGTCCCATGTAACCTAATCTTCATGACTACCCTGCTGTGTGGGTCCTTGTCAAAGGCCTTACTAAAGCCCATATAGACAACATCCACTGCCCTACCCTCATCCATCCTCTTGGTTACCTCTTTGAAAAACTCTAAAGGATTTGTCAGAGATGATTTTCCATGCACAAATCCATGCTGACTATCCCCAATCAGACCTTGATTACCCAAATGTTAGTTTATCATGACCCTCAGTATTCTCTCCAATAACTTGCCTACTGCAAATGTCAGGCTCACTGGTCTGTAGTTTCCCGGCTTGTCTTTGCTACCTTTCTTAAACAATGGAACAACATTAGCCACCCTCCAGTCTTCTAGAACTTATCTTTTATATATCTAAAACAACACTTGCCTTTTGCAATATTGGCCTTTATCACAATAGGATTTGATTAAAAAAGGAAAGATGTTTCCTTGTATACAGTTTTGATGAGACTGCACCAGGAGTATAGTGGATAATTTGGTCCCACTATCTAAAGTGGAATATACATGTCATAGAGGTTCAGTGAAAGTTCACCAGATAAATTTCTGTATTGCAGGACTGTCTAATCAGTATAGACTGAGGAGACTGAACCCATATTCCCTAGTGTTTCGAAAAGTGAGGCCTGACTTCATTGAAACTTACAAGAATTACAGAGCGTGACAAGGTGGATGTATAAAAATTATTTCCCCTGACTGTTGAATTTAAAACCAGGAATTATAATCTCAGAATAAGAGGCAGGTTCTTTTAAGTCTAAAATGAGAAGTAATTTCTCCATTCAGAGAACCATAAGACAGAGGAGCAGAAGTAAGCCATTCAGCTGTCAAGTCTGCTCTACCACTCAAAGAGATCATGCTGATCTGATGATCTTCAAATCCATTTTCCTGCCTTTTCCACATTACCCTTAATTCTGTTACTGATTAAAAATCTGGTTTATCTCCACCTTGAATAAACTTAATGACCCAGCCTCGACAGCCTCCATAGTAAAGAATTCCACAGATTCACTACCCTCTGAGGGAGGAAATTCCTCCTTATCCTTGGCTTACTTGTGTGTTCCCTTCTTCTGACATCTTGCCGTTTGGTTCTAGATTTCCCAGAAGCTAGTGAATTTTTGGAATTCTCTACCCCTGAGGCTGTAGAAGATCAACCACTGGGCATGTTCAAGACAGAAACCGATAGATGTCTGGAGAGTAATGACATCAAGGATATAGAAATCATGCATAAAAGTGACATTGAGGTAGGTGATTGGCCATGATCTAATTGAATAATGAAGCAAGCTTGACAGGCTGAATGGCCAAACCTTGTTCATTGTAACTATGTTCTGTGCGTTGGGTGGGGGGAAGGGCTTGATTTATTGTGCTTTTTGGCCCTTTGGAGACTCCTTCAAGGTTATCCCCCTCCCCATCCCTGGCCTGTAAAACCTGCCCTCCTTCTCTTCCTCCCCAACTAACCTCGCGGTGGCCCTTGTGAGATCCGGGTTGATCTCTGAATGTGGCCTCCTCTTTCTCAAGATCGACTGTAGTCCCAGCAGTGGCCACCATACAGGGTGGCGCTGGAAGTGGTCGGCATCTCGCTGAGGTGGCACGGTCTCCTCAATAGGGGGGGCAAGTCCCTCATTCATACTATTCATTGTGTTAACCAGCAGCAGGACCACCATAGGGAACAGGTAGGCTCCCAAAACCCTCAGCAACTCTTTAGTCACAGTTAATTCCGGCCATCTCACTGTATATTAAGAGGCCAGTGATTGTGGAGAGTTGCAGAGTGGAGCAGGTTACAGGGATAGGAAGGGAGCAAGACCATGGAGGGGCTAAGGCAGCAGATCAGCAGTGGGTAGGTAATTTGTTGTTTGTAGCAGTGTACCTGAATAAATGAGAGTGGATCCATATGGACCAGATTCTGAGTTTCATCATCTATCAGCCTAATCAGATGCATTTTGTTGTTCAGTTCACCAAAGCACATGGCACTCTTGGACAACATCTTCATCCCCTCCTCTTCAATCATTTTAACGGCATAGTCCTCATCCTCCTCCAGGCTCTTCCTCCATTCGGAGAACTTCTTTGAGAGATTTTCTTTCAGCTGATCGATTTGTGTCTGAAATTCCAAATCATATTCTGGTTACAAACTGGTCATTTACCCTCTGGGTACGGGACCTGTCTCTACTGCACCATTGCGTTCCTTGATGCAACACATTGGGATCTTCATCTTTTGTTTTGTTTAAGCTGGTCCGAATATTGTGCTCTTTCAGTGAGAGAATAGAGTGCTTGAGACTAGAACAATTGCCCATGAGAAACAGGAAGAGGAGTAGGCCATTCAGCCCCTCAAACCTGCTCCACCATGTAGCTGATCTGACATTCCTCACGTCCACTTTCCTGCCCTTTCCCCATAACCCTTGATTCCCCAACTGATCAAAAATCTATCGATCTCAGCCTTAAATATAGGCAGGGACTCCTGCACCACCCCCACCACCCCCCCAACTCACATTGCTCTCTGTGGCAAGGAGTTCCAAAGACTCACAACCCTCTGAGAGAAGAAATTCATCCTCATCTGAGTCTTAAATTGGCACCCCTTTACTCTGAAACTAAGCAGGTGAGGAGCCTGTTGATGTCTCAGTGATAATCGGTCCACTCTCTCTTTGGCTAAGCTAGCATTTATTGCTCAAAGAACAGTTAAGCATTAACCGCACTGCTGTAAAATGGCAGTTTCCTTTCCTAAAGGACATTAATGAACCAGATGGGCTTTTCCCCAACAATTGACTCATTCTCATCATTAGACCCATAATTCCAGATTTTTAGTGAATTCAAATTCTGCCATGGTAGGGTTTGAACCCAAGTCCCCAGAATGTTACCTGGGTTTCCTGGATTAACAGTCCAGCAATAATACCACTAGGCCATCATCTTCCCTAATTCTGCCTCATCTCAGTTTAAATTGGCACCCCTTTATTCTGAGACTGTGCCCTCTGGTCCTAGACTCTCCCATGAGGGGAAATATCCTCTCAGCATTTATCCTGTCAAGCCCCTTTAGAATCTGATATGTTTCAATGAGATCATCTCTCATTCTTCTAAACTCCAGTGATTAGAATCCCAACCTGTTCAGCCTTTGTTGATAGGACAATCCCTCCATGCCAGGGATCATTCTGGTGAACCTTCTCCAAACTGCCTCCATTCTGAGTGGTGCAAGCACTCAAGAGGGACTGCCAGGGGATATGGTGATGCAGAGCAGAGCTCCCAATGTGGCACGTGCCCAAGATATTAAAGAATCTCGGTTGCACTGGGGAAACGTTCTATAAGTTCCCACACTCTGACTCTGATTCATTAGATTTACGGCTTCATGTATCTTTGGGCTGATTAGGATTTTGACTTTTCCATTATGAATCAGTCTGGTTCTCACAAAGACCTTTCAATATCTTGCAGTTGTTGCTTTTCCTCCCTATATATTTTCTCTCTTCTAATAACACACAGTGCAATTAATTAAGCACTGAATCAGTGTAATTGAACACAGTTTTCATCAACCACTAGACTGGGTCCCCCTGAGTTTGACAGTTACAACAAATTCATTTATATTTAAGAACGATCAGCATGGCCAGCATTTATGGTTCCTTCCTAAGTGTCCATTAGAAAGGCCTTCTCCTCAAACCACTGGGAACTTACATTAGCCATGGTGTGGGCCTGGAGTCACACATAGGCTCAGACTCATGGAATAGAATCATAAAATTCCTACAGTGTGGGAGCAGGCCATTCAATCCATTTTGTTCATACCATACTTCAAAGGGCATTCCACCCAGACCCGCCCCATCCCCAGAACCCTGTGTTTCCTATGGCTAACCAACCTAGTCTGCACAACCCTGGACACTACAGGGCAATGTAGCATGGCCAATCCACCTTATCCACACATCTTTGGACTGTGGGAGAAAACTGGAGCACCGAGATGGAACACATGCAGACACGGGTAGGGTGTGCAAACTCCACACAGACAATCACCCGAGGGTGGAATCGAACCCGGGTCCCTGGCGCTGAGAGGTAGCAGTGCTAACCACTGAGCCACCATAAGTAGAAGATTAAGTAAAGACACAACGATTCCTTCTTAAGAGGAACATTAATGCATCAGTTGAGATTTATTTTAATGCCAATCTAACAGATTTATGGCCAGTTTTTTAATTACCAGATTTGGTTTTTGAAGGTGAATTCAAATTTTCCATCTGGCTTTTGGCTGTTTGAACTGTGGATTATTAGTTGTGTAACATTAACCATTACACTGTTGTAATGTCTTTTAAAATGGTGAGTTTCTCAGCAAACAGTGAAAGGAGGGGAAATACTTGAAAACATACAGCAATTCAGTTCGTGTCTGAAGAGAGCACAGAGGAATTAACATTTGGAGCAAGAGCTGTTTTTCAGAACTGAAACATATGGAAGAATAATACAATAAGGGAAAGGGGAAGGAGAGCACATCTATAGTATATATCTGTATCTATAGGTATATGTGCATCCTATAGCTATAAAAACACACACACACACACTCACACACACAAAAGGACTGTGGAAGCACAAGGATTGAGCATATTCAAGGTGGAAATCAATAGATGTATGGAGTATATTGACATTAGCGGATTAGGAGATAATGAGGAAAAATTATGTACAGGTAGATGATCTGTTTCAGGAGCAGAACAGACTCAAGGTGCTGAATGCCTACTCCTGCTCCTGTTTCCAATGTGCATATAAATGTATTGGTATAAGAGATAACCTGAGTCAAGAAGCATCAAGATATCAACAATAACTTGCATTTGTAGAGCAATGTCATCATCATAAAAAGTGTCCAAACTAGGGTCTACAATATGGTGATCAGACTAAAACTGAGAGCCAATGGAAAACTGGAAACATTGAGGCAGGTGACCATGATCAACGAGGTTGGTTTTAAAGTGGGAGAAACAAGGGTGTATGGTGGAAACATTTAGGCAGGGAATTCCAAAGCTGGAAGTATGGTCGCCAGTGGGGAAATGCAGGAAATCAGAGGATATGAAAGCAAACAAGGTGAAGAAATGTCGTGATTCCAGAGGAAGAGAGGAGAGATAGAAACCCAGGGCTTGACAACAAGGGGACAGATGAGAGCTGATTCATTCCCACTCCAGCAACAGTTGGCTGTGCACAATGAGTGAGTGGATCACTTCTGCACGGTTGCAAGGGGCAATTGACTATATTCACAAGCAGTCACATTTCCACACTTAAACCCCCAAAATACTTCCCCAAGGAATTAAATTGTCAGTCAAAATATGGCAGGCTCCTATATTTTTTCCTTTATTCATTCATAGGATGAGGGTGGCGCTGGCTAGGCACCATTTATTGCCCATCCCTAATTGCCCAGAGGGCAGTTAAGGGTCAACCACATTGCTGTGGGACTGGAGTCACATGTAGGCCAGACCAGGCAAGGATGCAGTTTCCTTCCCTGAAGGACATTAGTGAGTCAGATGGGTTTTTCCCGACAATCGACAATGGATTCACGGTCATCATTAGATTCTTAATTCCAGATATTTATTGAATTCAAATTCCACCATCTGCTGTGGCAGGATTCAAACCTGGGTCCCCAGAATGTTATCTGGGTCTCTGGATTAACAGTCCAGTGATAATACCGCTAGGCCATCACCTCCCCAAAATATTGCATGGCATACTCCCATGAGGGCTGTAGATCACTGAAACCCCTCAAATCCCACCAGGTCATCTTAAGTAAACAGCTCACTATCATGTCAAAACTTCCAGTTCAAGACAAGCCCTTTCTTAGATCCATTCCCAGTGTGTGTACTCTACCTTGATTTCTGATTCGGATATTGTCACATCTTGGTGTTTGAAGTGACAATCCTGCTGAATTATCCGGAGATTTTCAATTTCTTTTCTCAATTTTTCCTGTGAAGACAGTTGGAATAAAGAAAATACATGAATTGCAGAATAAATTAAAAGGCAGTCCTGGCTCAGGGGCTATACTGCTTCCTTTTGGTCACTGAACAGGACAATTTGATTCTCAGTAAAGAAGCAAAAGGAGCAGCATTTCCATAGCAGCTTAGGATATCTCGAAGTATTTCACAGAAAATGAAGCATTTTTCAAAGTATATCCATATTTGTATGAAACACAGCAGCCAATGTACACACAAACAGTAATGAGATAAACTACCTTATTGAGTGAGGGCTAATTATTGCCCAGGTCACTTTGAGTTAAGCTGCAGTTATGTCTATCTGAGAGGCCAGGCAGAAATTGCATTTAATGTTTAATTCAACAATACAGCACTCCTCAATGTAACAGTGAGAATGCCAGCCTGGATTCTGTTTTCAATTCTCTCAATCCCACAAGCTCTGCACTCAGAAGCACTATGCACTGAATTAAGGGTTCAATGCAGCCACTATGTGATGGTGCAAGCACGTATCTCAATCTGTCTGATGGGTTAGAGAGATTGCCCCTGAGTCCCTGAGCCTTTTTGGAATGTTTTCTTAAATCAACCGTACAAGGGTTGTGGGGGAATGCAGAGGAGATTCACCAGGATGTTCCCAGGAATGGAACATTTCAGCAATGAAGACAGGCTGGATAAGCTCATAAGCTGGATAACCTTTTCTGAAGAAGGGTCTAGGCCCAAAACATCAGCTTTCCTGCTCCTCTGGTGTGCCTGGCCTGCTGTGTTCAACCAGCTCTACACCTTGTTATCTCAGATTCTCCAGCATCTGCAGTTCCTACTATCTCTGGATAAGCTCAGGATGTTTTCTTTTGAGCAAAGAAGGTTGAGGGGGACCTGATAGAGGTGCATAATATTATGAGGGGGATGGACAGAGTGGGTAGAAAACAGCTGTTCCCCTTAGTTGAAGGGTCAATAACAAGGGAGCATCATTTTATGGTGGAAGCAGGAGTTTACAGGGGTATTGAGGAAAGAATTTTTCACCCAGACAGCGGTGGTGGTCTGGAATGCACTGCCTGGGAGGGTAAGAGAGGTGGATGACCTCACAATGTTTAAAAAGATGAGCACTTGAAGTCCCATATCATTCAAGGCTATGAGCCTAGTGCAGGGAAGTGGGACTAGTATAGTTTTGGGGTAGTTTTGGCAGTACAGACCCGATGGGCCAAAGGGCCTCTTCTGTATTGTATGATTCTGTGAATTTATGTGTGTGGACATTGTAGTGATTGTAATGAGGTTAGGCAGGTGGACCTCAGAAAATGAGTTCCCTGATTGGGGCTATTGATGTGGTCCAACCAGGGAGCCCTGGCTGACAGATATAAACAGGAGTCTCAGAGTTCTGTTGACCCTGACAGCCAGCTCTGAGGAAGCTGGACCAGTGTCAAGAACTATGCACGTGTACATAAAGGATGAGGTGGTGGTGAGAAACCAGCCTCTGGAGTTATTTCAGTGGCAACAAGAGAGGAAAAAAGCTCTTGAAGAAATCTGCTCGCAACAGTCATCTTTGAGTTGGGTAAGCATTTCTGGCATCATGCCATTATTTAGGAAACTTGACTTGTTTGATCTTGCCAAAGTGGAAAGAATAGGTTACTTTTTCCAGGCAAATTACACTGGGGCAGTTGAAAAGCAATGAGTAATTCTCCTGACAGCTTGTGGACCCACATCTTTTTCGGCTATTAGAAGACTAACATTTCCTGAGGCACCAAATATTAAAACCTTTCTAGAGTTGATGGATTTAGTTAAGGAATATTACAACCCCAAGCTTCCTCTAATTCTGAGATGCTATCGGATTTACTCAGCAGTTCAAGGACCAGGGGAGATCCCTATCGGGATTTTTGACGAGGTTAAAATGACTGGCAGAGGCACGTGACTGGTTTAATCCTTAGTAAGATACTGAGAAATGGTTTGGTATGTGGGATTAATGACGTGACCATGCAGAAGCACCTACTAGTTGAAGCCCAACTGGACTTCAAACAGGTACTACAACTAGATTTGTCATTGGAAAATGTGGTAAGTGGAGTATATGAGTTACAGGGTATGCTGATGGAAGTGGATACCCTCGCCAGGCCGACTGAGCCTGGGCTTCACCACTTGAGTGAAGGCAATTGCATAGCCTCACTCGGGATATATCATGAACAGAAGGACTCTAGGTCAGCCCACAGTGAAACCGTAAAACAAAGCCAAGCCTCAGCCAAACGGTTAAAATTTTCTTCAGGATCTGGGCTGGCAAGCCATTGTAGTTGCTGACGGTATGTGGACTCGAGATGGCAGAAGAGTTTCACTGGACCTAAATTGGGTAAGAGAACTCATAGGCTGATATCCAGGACAGTGCATACCCTGGAAAGTTCACATATGTCTGAATTGGAAGAATTAAATTGTTTAGCAATGTTCAAATTAGAACCAATCAAAATAAACATTTGGTTAAATGATCACCTGGTTCTAATAGAGATTGATACTAATGTGGCCATTTCAGTGATTGCAGAACCAGTCTTTAACAAAATTCACTCTGGACTCCAATCCTCAAGTTTGCATAAGACCTTGGCTAGACTGAGAACCTATACCGGGGAAACATTATGCATTAAAGATACAACTTCAATTCCAGTCTCGTATGAGAAGTAGCTGGTTCAGTTACCACTGATTGTAGTAAAAGGCTTGGGCCCAAGCCTGATGGGGCGAAATTAGTTGAGATAGATTCACCTTAATTGACTCAACATTTTTCAACTGAAGTCCTAATTAAATACTCTGAGTATTTTCGGGAAGGTCTAGGGACTATCAAAGGAGCCAAGCCAAATCCAGCTTGCATATGCAAAGCTGGCAGGGCAGGGGGTCTATCCTTCATGAAGCTGGACATGAGCCATGCATACTTGCAATTATGGTTAGATGAGGATTCTCAGACGTATGCTACAATTAATACCCATAAGGGTTTGTACCAATACATGAGATTGCCATTGGGGTTTCGTCGGTCTGTGCCATTTTTCAGCGGATGATGGAGAACATTTTACAAGGGCTACCCCAGATTACCATTTATCAGGATGACATGCTAATAACAGGTAAGACAAATAAAGAGCACTTGAAGAACTTGGACATAGTCCTTAGATGTTTCTTCAAGGCAGGCATATGTCTTAGGAGGGAAAACTGTGTGTGTTCCAGGTACCCCAAGTGATCTACTTGGGCTGCAGAGTTGACAAGACCAGGTTACACCTGTTGGAAGATAAAGTGAGGGCAATCAAAGGTGCCCTGGTTCCCGTGTCTGAACTGGAGCTTACATCTTTCCTTGGATTGGTGAATAATGGTGGAAAGTTCATACGTAACCTGACCTCTATCCTGGCACCCTTACACCTGCTATTAAGAAAGGGTCAGCCTTGGAAAGGGTCTTGTAGCCAAGACATAGCCTTCAGGGAACTGAACAAGCAGCTATCATCGTCTGAGGTGTTGGCACACTATGATCCAAGCGAGATATGGTGCTGACATGCGATACCTCCCCATACAGTATTAGGGGAGTGTTGGCTCACAGATGGCCCAATGGACAGGAATGTCCAATAGCGTACGCTTCTCAGACTTTGGTTGATGCAGATCACAAATACGCCCATATAGAGAAGGAACGTGTGCGGGACATCTTTGGTAAGAGAAAGTTCCACCAATACCTTTATGGGTGTAAATTTGTAATAGTAACAAATCACAAGCCCCTGCTAGGGCTACTCAGAGAGGACAAGGCCGTACTGCCCCTAACCTCAGGTCAAATTCAGTGGTGGGCTCTCAAACGAAGTGTGTACAATTACAAGTTGAAACACTATCCAGGAGGCCAAGAAACAATTGTGGATGCCTTGAGCCACCTCCCGCTGGCAGACACATCACTGGTAGTGCTGCCACTGCAAGATTCTGTTCTGGTTTTCAACCTTCTGGACACCCTTCCAGTAACTGCTGCAATATAAGACAGTGGATGCAAAAAGATCCAGTCCTGGCAAAACTAAAACAAGTGGTGGTGATGGGGGAAACAAAAGGACCATCACAAGCTAAATTGAAACCTTTCTGGATCTGGCGAGAGCAGATCAGCGTAGGGGGCAAAATTTTATTATAGGGAGCAAGAGTGATTGTCCTGAGCAAAGGCCACCATCAGACACTGGCTGAGCTCCACCAGAGTCATCCAGGGGTGTCCAAAATGAAGATGTTGGCGAGAAGTTATGTCTGGTGGGGCAGTGCCCAGAGTACCAACAAGGACAAAAATTGCTGCCAGCAGCCCCCCACATTTGTGGGAACGGCCGGGTAAACTCTGGACTTGGTTACACTTCGATTATGTTAGCCCTTTCATGGGCTCAACGTTCTTCGTCACTGTGGACATTCATTCAAAGTGGCTGAATGTGCATAGAGTACATTCGGCAAACACGAGAACGATGATAGAAAAGCTGCAAACATCTTTTTAAATACACAGACTCCTGGAAATGTTGGTCACAAACAACGGGCCATCATTTACCAGCAGGGAATTCGAGTATTTCCTAAAGTCGAATGGCATTCAGCATATAAGCACAGCTCCATGCCATCCATCATCCAATGGTCTGGCAGAAAGAGCAGTCCAAAATTTGAAGGCAGGCTGAAAGAAACAGCTTACTGTTTCACTCATTATCAAACTGTCATGATTCCTATTTGCTTGTTTCCAGGGAGCATAGTCAGAAGAAGGAGCACAGAGCGGTGAGTATAAAAACTAACTTACCTTGGGAATTTGCTCCTTGTTTCCAGGGAATGGAGTCACAGGGAGGATCACAGAGTGGTGAGTATAAAAACGAACTTACCTTGGGGATTTGTGGACTTGTTTCCAGGGAGCGGAGTCACAGAGAGGAGCACAGAGTGGTGAGTATAAAAACTAACTTATCTCGAGGATTTGTGGACTTGTTTCCAGGGAGCGGAGTCACAGGGAGGAGCACAGAGCGGTGAGTATAAAAACGAACTTACCTTGGGGACTTGTGGACT